CTGTCGGTCCCAAGCCACGGCCAAGCCAGGCACCCCTTAGGAAAACTCAGGAGAGACTTCAAGGAGGAAAAGAGACAGATGACACCGAGGCACACAGCAGAAACAGAGCAAGGCAGCCACAAGGTCACTGGGAAGAACGGGGTCTGCAGGATGCCCAGGCCCAGCGGGGAAGCCTCATCCCCGCAACTGGTCATGCAGCTCCGTGGGCTCGGCCTAGGGCTCCAGGCGCAGAAGGCCCTGAGCCAGCCAAGCCACCCAGAAGCACACGGGCGGCCCCCTCTTGGGATCACAGGGCAGGCCTCTTTGAGGCTGTGCCAGACAGTCCCAGTCACCCTCTGAAGGCCGAGCTGAGGACGGGATACCACTGCCTGGCTCCTGATCCTGCTTAGTCAGCCTGGAGGAGAGGAGGAAGTGTGGCAGAGGGGTGCAGGTGGGGAGGGCGCCTGCGCATTCCTCTTGTAAGGTCCCGGAGATCCGAAATTTCTGGGTGCCTGCCACCGCCGCCGCTGCGGCCCCCCCAGACTCCGCCCCTCTGCTTGCCACCATCACCGCCACCTGGGCGGCAGCATTAATGGTTGGCGAGACGTGGGCCCGCTGGGCCCCTCTCTGGACCCGAATGCGGACCGCAGCGGGTGGGAATGGGTTCTGATGGGGGGCGGGTGGGGTGCAATCCGGGGAGCCTGGGGCGATGAAGATCCCCAGAATCCCGCCCCACGTGACGGTGGCTTCAACCGCACATCTACTGACCGTGGGACCCGAGCCTCCCCTAGACGTGGGCGGAGGAGGCCCGTGCCCTGCTGCCACAGCCCAGGGGCCCTGCCTATCCCCGTGCCTTCCGCGAATGTGTTGACTGCCGCCTCGCCCTTCCCGCCTGTCGCCCCGCCCCCAAGGCACCCCCTGCCCTCAGGCGGTACCTGGGCATGGCCGCCGAGGACCCGGCTGCGGAGACCCAGCAAAGGCAGGGAGCGCTGCTGGGCCCTCGGGCCACTGACGCAAATCCTCCGCGTCAGGCCTTTGTCACCTCCACAGTGGGGATAATCCCCAAGGGGCTCCGGCCGATCTCAAAGGAAGCACGCTGAAGAAGGAGCAGCTTCTTCCAGGCCCCGGGATTGTCAGGAAGAGTTTCTCAAGGGCTCTCCGGGCTCGGACCCCTCCCGTGGTGTTCCGAGTTCTGCTGACGGCAGCAGCCCACCTCCGGGGACGTCCGCCAGAAGTCGTGAGACCCCAAAGGGAAATCCCTGCGTTTTCCTTGATGTGAATGATGCTTTAAGACAGGTACGTGGCTAGGTACAGAGGACTTAGGAACATTAGTTCAGTCACTGGTGCAAGACACAGAAGGGAAATGCTCAGTCTTGTCAGGGAACGGAGGCCCATTTCTGCGTTTAAAAACCAAACTAACCAAGGCAATCAAAAAGACGTATGCCTGTGACTTACAAATAATGGAAGCCACAACCTGTGCAGAAGGGTTGATGTCAAAACAACAGTCCTCAAAGAGCGGTCTGGCAATCCCTAGCGGTTCCTAAGGTAAAAATTATTTTCACAATAATTCCAAGAGTTTTTCTTTTGACTGTCATTCTCTCATGAGTGTACAGTAGAGTTTCCCAGTCTACATGACATATGACATTGCTACAGACTGAATCCAGAAGCAGGTATGAGAAGCCTGCTGTCTTTGATTAAACCATTTATTTACAAAATTCTATAATACTGCCACTCTTTTTTTTTTCCTGAGTAAGATCAGCCCTGAGCTAACATCCGATGCCGATCCTCCTTTTTGCTGAGGAAGATCGCCCTGAGCTAACAGCCGTGCCCATCTTCGTCTACATTATATGAGACGCCACCACAGCATGGCATGACAAGCTGTGCGTCTGTGCGAGCCCGGGGCCAAACCCGCGAACTCCTGGCCACTGAAGTGGAGCACACACACTTATCTGCTTGCACCACCATGCCGGACCCTTTTTTTTTTCTCTTGTGAGGAAGATCAGCCCTGAGATAAGATCCATGCCAATCCTCCTCTTTTTGCTGAGGAAGACTGGCCCTTGGCTTACATCTGTACCTATCTTCCCCCACTTTATGTGGGACGCCGCCACAGCATGGCCTGACAAGTGGTGCATTGGTGCGTGCCCGGGGTTCCGAACCCGTGCAGCCAGTAGTGGTGTGTGCGCACTTAACTGCTACTCCACTGGGCCAGCCCCAAGGCCACTCTTTAAGTATGTTTGTTTTGGAAAATAATCATTTTTACTAAAATGTTATTTATGTTAACATGTAATGAGGTTATTAGTTTTTAATTGAATTGAAAATATTTTTAAAATTTCAATCTGCAAATTCCTCTTGCAAAATGCCCCACTGTCTTAGGTCAGGTTCCCTGGGAAACAGAATCTGAGATGGAAATTTATGATGTGGTTTATTAGGAACAGCTCTTGGGAATATCATCTGTAACGGAATGAGGGAAACAGAATTGGGTGGAAAGTGAAATGGAATTGTCATGCAGTTGCAATCCCTTGGGGAGCTCTAGAACTGAGAAGGATCTCAGACTTCTAAATGGAGGCGCAGGGGGCCAGATTGCTCTTGGGGAGGCAGAGTAACCGTGCACAATGCAGCCCCCTTCATCCAAGAACAGTTCCTATAGAGGAACTTGGCTGTGAGTTGTCAGCAGTCAAGATTCTCAGCAGTTGGCAGCACAGTGCCTTAGTCCTTAGGGGGGAATCTTGACGATTCTGAGGCATAGCTTACACTCTAGAGTTCCGGTAAGGATCAGGCTGAAATGACTCATGGCAGGACTATGGCTGAGATCACACTCTTGACTTATTCCTCATTCCTGTCTTGCTTCCTCCATGCCCTAAGCCTTCTCACTGGGAGCCCTTCCTTAATAAATCACTTGCATAGGAATCCTCATCCCTAGTCTACTTCTGGGAAACACAAGCTAAAAGAATATCCACAATAGATCTCAATTCCATCCCCCAATCTTTACCCCAAAATGTTTCTCCCTAGTCTGCTGCATTCTTAGCAAATGGTTGACCAGCCTACCAGTTGTTCTCCATAAAAATGTAGGCGTCATCCGTTCTCTCTCTCTTCCTCATCTTTCATATCAGCAAACTTCAAATGAAGTTTGAAATCTAGAATGGAAATTCTCCAGGCAGCAGTTTACTGTATATCCAGTAAAGAGGGATTTATCATGATTTGATTAATGATCTTTTCAGATGTTATCTCAGTCACTTATACCTTATTTCTACTCCTTAGGACAAGAAAAGAAATTAACTTACAGAGACCAGATCATCTTCTGGCTGACATATGATCAGTAAAACACCCTTCTTAGACTTGGGATTCAGGTTTACTCCGAGGCATTTATCTCACAATAAACACAGCCACTCTTACTGGGAGAGGCCAAAAGAGGCACCTAAGGTGGTCTTTATTGACCATAAGTGAAATTTAAAATTTTTCTGTTGACTCCAAAGCTATGTAAAGAAAGGGGCAAAGGATTTAAATGAAGTGTAAGCCAAATAAACACAAAGAAATAAATCAGAGAGAAAAATGACAGTTTAGACAAAAACAAGTCTTGCAAATAAAAATATTTACACAGGTTTTCTTATGTAGATATTACATGAACTTTGAAAACTATTTTAAAAGAAGTCTACAAAAATTAGGTGTGATGGCAAAATTGGACTTCATATAAAATGAATTAAACAAGAGACTATAAAATGACAATACTCTTAGATATTCAAGTTTTGGTAAATTGTTGTTTTCACAAAAAACAGTCCCTGCTATTTACAATTATAAATCACTGTCAATCTTCAAAAAGAGCTAATAAAAGTCAAAATTGATATAGTCATGCTTGTACTTCACAACTTTAGTTTGAGAGAGACATATTTAGTTTTGTGACATAAGCTTCAAAAAAATATGGTTGACATTCAAACATTCAACGCTAAAGTTCCCTTTTGATCACAATCCCCAATCCTAACCTCCTTTTAAAAAAGGCACTAATAGTTTTCTGTATATCAAGTAATATTGTAGAGCTGCCATGATACAAAATTACCTTAAGTAACAGTTGGCTCATGTATTGTTAGAGAGAATGAGATACTTTTAAAGGAACTCGGTTATTACTGCTCAGGGTCTGAGACCACCACTTTCAACCAAAACTAGATAGGTTGTATAAGTCAAGCATTCTGGAAGGAATAAAATGATCTGTAGGTTAAGAGTGAAGCAATTTTACATACTTGCTTATGGGCACCTCAAGAAAATAAAAGACCTTCTCATTTCAAAATATTGTAATAATTAATAATGATATTAATGCCTATGCTGGTTGTATGGAAACTTGCAGGGCAAGAAAACGAATATCACAGAGTTAATTTCTTTTTTTTTTTTTTTTTAAAGATTTTATTTATTCATTTTTTTCCCCCCAAAGCCCCAGCAGATACTTGTGTGTCATAGGTTCACATCCTTCTAGTTGCTGTACGTGGGACTTGGTCTCACGCTGGACGGAGAAGTGGTGCCTTGGGGAGCGCCCGGGATCCGAACCCAGGCCGCCAGCATCAGAGCGCGTGCACTTAACCGCTAAGCCACGGAGCCGGCCCAGCACAGAGTTAATTTCTCAGGAAAATCTTATTCTCTCCACAATGACTCTAAGCATATTGTTATTTAGCTATGAATCCAACGAATCTATTGTCAAATAATGCAAGACACACTGAGATAGGAGGGATCGTTAGTAGACTATGATGCCCTAAAGTAGTAAATAAAATCGCATTTGATTTGTCACACTGCCATCTGATTTGCAAATTTTTAATAATTACATATTTACTTGAATCTAAGACACAAATGCTTGAAAGATGAGTCTCAATTTCAGAAATAGTAAAATGTAAAAAAAAAAGCATCATAAGATTGAAAAAATATGCTAATTTCATTTTATATAGTAAATAGGACTATTCTAATTACTAATTTTCTGGAAATATTTTTCATAAAATAGTTCAGCATCTGATAGGGCATATGAAGCCATTATAACGTTTTTGTCTTTGGGCATAGGCTTCCGCTAGTCCATAAATTCTAAGAAATAACTACAAAAACACTATTAAGACAAGACATCCATATTACCATTAACTTTTAAGATTTATTTTACATGCTACCAATCTGTTTTTTAAGGCATAAAAATTATACAAGTAAAGCTAAAAATCCCCTTTGATCAACAGCCTCAATCCTAATCTCTTGCCAGAGACAACACTAACAATAATTTGGTATGTATGCTTCTAGTTCATTTCAAATAGTTTACATACATACATATTTCGATAATAAAAACATAGTTCTGTTCTTTATGAATAATCTCATTCCAATTTACATGAATGCCATTATACAATATGTTTCATCTGGATCTTGATGTTTTTCACTCAACATTGTTTTAGATAACTACCCATGTTACAAAATACAGATCTAGTCCATTGCTTTTAACTGTGTATACTATTCCATTATTTGAATATATCACATTTTATTCATGAATTACCCCCTCGATATTTAGGTTGTTTTCAATTCAGATATATATAGTTCTTATGCATATTTGTTTCTTTAGGATATATACCCAGAAGTGGAACTGCAGAGTCCTTTTGTCTTTTAAAAAATGCTTCCCTGCCTCAAAGTCACAGACAATATCCTGTATCTCCTTCCAAGAATTTCAGAGTTTGGCTTTTCACAATACAGTGTTCAAGTCCTTTGGAATTCCATTTCTTTATGTTATAAGATAGTACGTAATTTTATTTTCCCCAGTATGGAGAGTCAAATACTCCAATTTTTATTGACTAGGCTATCATTTCCCTACTGATTCTCAGTGTCATGTCTAATATACAGCAAGTTCACATATATTCATTGGTTTATTTCTAGGCATTCTATTCTGTAAAATCTGTTTACTTACCTATTTGTGCACTAATACCACACACTATTTAATGACCATAACTTTATAACGTGTAGTATATAGTAGAAGGTGTGTCCTCTCTGTTCTTTTTCAAAATTGTCTCAGCAATCCATCAACTCCTATTTCACGTGAATTTTAGAATCATTTTGTAAAGATCCAGGAAAATTCTTGTTAGATGTTTGGAAGTATATTAAGTCTATAGATTAATTTTGGGAGAACTGACATTTTTATGACATTGAGTTTTTCCATCTACATACATGGTATTTCTCTCCACTTATTCAAGTCTTATGCCCTTCAATAAAGCTTTACAACTTTTCCATAAAGATCTTGTTCATTTTTTTGAGTTTATGCCAAGATATTTCAAAAGTTAAGTAGAGCATGGGTTGAATTTAAGAGAAGGCCTCATTTAGTACTCTCGGCGTTTCTCACCTGTATGACCTCTCTTATGTATAGAAAGGGATGCTCTTTGAGAGAAGGCTTTCCCACATTCATTACATTCAAAGGGTTTCTCACCAGTATGACTTCTCATATGTATAATAAGTAACGAGCATTGAGAGAAGGCTTTTCCACATTTATTACATTCATATGGTTTCTCCCCTGTATGACTTCTCACATGAAGAGTAAGGGATGAGATTCGAGAGAAGGCTTTACCACATTCATTACATTTAAATGGTTTCTCTCCAGTATGAATTTTTTCATGCTCAAGGAGATTTTGTCTCTGACAGAAAGCTTTTCCACATTGATTACAATGATAAGGTTTCTCTCCAGTATGAATTTTCTCATGTTCAGTGAGATTTGATTTCTGACTAAAGGCTTTCCCACATACTGTACATGCATAGGGTTTCTCACCAGTATGAATTCTCTGGTGTCGAATGAGGTTTGACATCTGAATAAAAGCTTTCCCACATTCATTACATTCATAAGGTTTCTCTCCAGTATGAATTTTCTGATGTGTAATGAGATTTTCTTTCCGGCTGAAGGCTTTTCCACATTCATTACATTCATAGGGTTTCTCAGCTGTATGATTTCTCATATGTACAGTAAGGGATGAACTTTGAGAGAAGGCTTTCCCACATTCACTACATATATAGGGTTTCTCACCTGTATGACTTCTCATGTGTATAATAAACACTGAGCACTGAGAGAACGCTTTTCCACATTTATTACATTTATAGGGTTTCTCTCCTGTGTGACTTCTCATGTGAAGAGTAACAGATGACATTCGTGAAAAAGCTCTACCACATTCATTACACGCATAAGGTTTCTCACCAGTATGAATTTTCTCATGCTCAATAAGATTTTGCTTTTGGCTGAAGGATTTTCCACATTCCTTACATTCATAGGGTTTTTCTCCAGTATGAATTCTCTCATGTTCAATGAGATTTGATTTCTGACTGAAGGCTTTCCAACAATCCTTACATGCATAAGGCTTCTCCCCAGTATGAATTCTCTGGTGTCTAATAAGGTTTGACATCTGAATGAAAGCTTTTCCACATTCATCACATTTATATGGTTTTTCCCCAGTATGAATTTTTTGATGTGTAATAAGATTTTCCTTCCTGCTGAAGGCTTTTCCACATTCCTTACATTCATAGGGTTTCTCTCCAGCATGAATTCTCTCATGTCTGATGAGGTCAAATTTATGACTGAAATCTTGTCCACACTGATTACACTTAAAGGGGGTTACAACATGGGATGAGCAATGGTAAAATGGTTTTCCATACTTATTACATTCATAATTTTTCTCTCTTACACAGCCCTTCTCATAACTAACTAAGTCTAAATTATGTTCCAACCCTGTATCAAGTGAGTCACATTCATAGAAGCTTTGTCTTGAAGTAACAATGTCTGAGCTCAGAGGAAATATTTTTGTAACTTTTTTGTATTCAATGACATTTTCCTTAACCAGAGTTTTCCTGGAGATGGATGTGACTTTCCTCACAAGTGTTTCCTGTTGCTTCTTGATCTGTTCATCAACTTCCCAAACTTCTAAAATGGAGGACCAAAAATAATTAGTTTTGAATTTTTCTGCTACTACACTATTAATAACATTTCAGAAATTTGCTAATGTGAGGTTGATTTTTAATATTGGCTCTAGTCTACCAATATGAAAGAAGTCCAAAGTGCAAATGTCCCTAGTTCCTAAGGTTGGAGAAATTAACTCCTATAGAAAATATTATGGAGAGAAAACTGACATTTATAGGCCCAAGTAGCTTTGATTGATTTTAAAAGTGTACTTATACAAAGCAGAAATCAGTAAAATGAATAATTAAGATGAAAGGGCAAACACATAAGTGACTGGATAGGGAGTCAAACGACTAGAGGATAAAATTAACACTTGCGATTTAATACAACAGATTGAACGTATATGTTTATTTCTCTTCCTCCTTAAAATTCCATTAAAATAACAGTAAAAGAATAAAGGGTCAAACCCACAAGGACAAAGGAAATAGGAGTGTAAAGAAGGCTGAACAAGAGACTTCAACAAAATACTGGAAGATGAAAGGAATATAGGGAACTGTTAACTGATAACAGAGCTAAAAAGTTAAAGTACTATGAAGATGCAAACGTCAAGAAACAAAGAGATTTGGCCACAAAATAGTGGAAAAGTTCAAAAATTAGAGAATTCAGAAAATGAGGGGCTGGCCCAGTGACATAGTGGTTCGGTTTGCGCGCTCCACTTTGGCAGCCCGGGGTTTGCAGGTTTAGATCCTGGGCACGCACCAACGCACCGCTTGTCAAGCCATGCTGTGGTGGTGTCCCATATAAAGTAAAGGAAGATGAGCACGATGTTAGCCCAGGGCCAATCTTCCTTAGCAAAAAGAGAAGGATTGGCATCGGATGTTAGCTCAGGGCTCATGTTCCTCACAAAAAAAACAAAAAAGAAAGAAAGAAAATGAACCCATAGAGGCTCTAGACTTAGGGACAAGTGAAGCAGACGGAGAGGAAAGGCCTAACACCAAAAAATGAGGGATTATGTGAACATTTATAGATTGAATAGTGAGCCCTCCAATCCCTTTCTGTTGCATAGTCTCATGAATACTGGCATGTACCTGCGGGCAGGCAATGGGAAGATTAAAAATAAAAGACCCATAGAACTGGCATTTGGGATTCCACAAAAAACTCCTAGGTTCTAATCCAACCATTCTACAGTACATCTCCTACTCAAAAAGCATCAAAAAATTGTTAGCTACAAGACTTTTAGAATTTCCCTTTTATCTTTTCATGCATCAAAATGAGGTAAACTAATGACACTGATGGATTCCTTATTTAATCAAAGAATTTGAGAGTCTCATTAAAAATATATAGAAAACAAAGCAAACAGAAAAATGGGGCAAGTAGTAACTGAAGGAATGACAAAAAGTTATATAAAGATATGTAATTAATAGTCATTTCTTGGCTCAGTAGTAACAATACACAGATCTTCCTTGACTTATGGTGGGATTACATCCTAATAACCCCATCATAAGTTGAAAATACCATAAGTCAAAAATGCATTTAGGGGCTGGCCTGGTGGTGCAAGCACTTAAGTGCGTGTGCTCCACTGCGGCAGCCCGGGGTTCACCGGTTCGGATCCCGGGTGCGCACCGATGCACTGCTTGTCACCGATGCACTGCTTGTCAAGTCATGCTGTGGCGGCGTCCCATATAAAGTGGAGGAAGATGGGCATGGATGTTAGCCCAGGGCCAGTCTTCCTCGGCAAAAAGAGGAGGATTGGCAGATGTTAGCTCAGGGCTGATCTTCCTCACCAAAAAAAAAAATGCATTTAATACACTTGACCTACCAAACACCATAGCTTAGCCTAGGCTACCTTAAACGTGCTCAGACACTTACATTAGCCTACAGTTGGGAAAATCTAATGCAAAGTCTATTTTATAATAAAGGGTTAAATCTCTCATATAATTTATCAAATACCATACTAAAAGTGAAATACAGAATGGCTGTACAGGTACAGAATAGTTGTAAGCGTATGGGTTGTTTACCCACCTGATTGCATGGCTGACTGGGAGCTGCGGCTCGCTGCCACTGCCCAGCATCAGGAGAGAGTATCATACCACACGTTGCTAACCCAGGAAAAGATCAAAATTCAAAGTATGGTTTCTACTGAATGCATATCTCTTTCACACCATCATAAACTCAAAAAACCCTAAGTCAAACCAACATAAGTCGGGGACCATGTGTATCAACAATCAGAACAAAGTAAGCAGTGAAAACTGATTTAGCCAAAAATTGTGATATATCCATATTCAGAGAGAAATGAAAAGAGAAGCCGTGGTGGTAGTGTAAGAGTACTAAACTCATCTTTTATTACTATCAAGTTGATGAAAATTAGAAAATTATCAAACAACAGCATATTCAGAGAAGTCTAGCTCTCACTCTGTTCCTGAAACACTGATTCCTGCTTTGACTTACAGGTAAGCACTTTTATTACTTTTTGGATAATTCTTACATTCTTTAAATATATATATACATACACACACACAACCCTCCCACCCTTTTTTACAAAAAAAGGTAGCATATTCTAAATGCTATTTTGCACAGACTTTTTTTCACCTATATATCCTGAATGGAAGCATGACATCTCTGACTTGTTTTCTAGGTTTTTTTTTGTTTGTTTTTTTGGTGAGGAAGATTGGCCCTGAGCTAACATCTGTTGCCAACCTTCCTCTTTTTGCTTAGGAAGATTGTCCCTGAGCTAACATCTGTGCCAGTCTTCCTCCATTTTGTTTGTGGGTTGCCACCACAGCATGGCTTGACGAGTGGTGTAGGCCTGAGCCTGGAATCTGAACCCGTGAACCCGGAGCCACTGAAGGGGAGTGTGCAAACTTAAGCACTATGCCACTGGGTCAGCTCCTGTTTTACAGTTTTGACACTGGAATCACGTAAGTATTTTACATAATGAAAAAAAATTAAATCAAAAAAGGAGAAAAAAAGCCAAAACAACTCCTAAAAATGGAAAACAAATGGAGATAAGTAAACCTACACATCAAGTTAGGGCCATAATCACACAGAGAAGAATTACTTCAAGTGAATTTAAACATGGCACTTTGATTCTATTCTAAGGGAGAAAAAAATACATGCAAATAAATCTTAAACATTCAATATTCTTTTTTTTTAGTAGTATTATTGGTATTACTGTTAATTTGGAACTAATATATATATAAAGAAACTTAAGGAAAGAGAGGGAGGGAGATAGATCAGTTTTGACCCCCACAGGACATGTGGCAATGTCTGGAAAGTCTGGAGACATTTTTAGTTGTCACACTTGGGGGAGGGAGGAGATAGGGGGATGGTGCTACCAGCATCTAATGAGTAGAGGCCAAGGATGCTGCTAAACATCCTACAATGCACAAGACAGTTCCTTACAGCAAAGAATTATCTGGCCCAAAATGTCAGTAGTGCCAAGGTGGAGAAATATATATGGATTAAACAAATAAATGTTTTAGTGCAATAAGGAGCCAAGATTTTCAGTATAAAAGATACAAATACAAAGCAAAAAAGGTAAGGAACAACCTTATACTCTTTAATTTGAATTGGCTGTGTCAGTATAAACACATACATATTTTCTTTCAAAAAAATGCATTTTTCCTAGCTCTGTCCACTTAAAATCTCTAGAAGCAATGATAACCCAGTACTAATGAGCAACCATAGTGCCCAGATTGTGGTCTCCAAATATCATTTCCCACTTAAGGAAGCAGGGGTTTTTAAAGAAATGGCTATTCCCATGTCTAGAGCAGGAAATTTACAAAATTAGCTAAAGAATCCTCTAGCTAAAGAGACAATCTGAGCATTAAAATAAATGATATTTATTAATAATACATTCATGTGCAGTGATAATATTATTTTGATGCTCAAAGTATATAAATTTATAATGATTTGACTTAGCAAACTGGAGATTGCTAGGACACCAGTCATTATGCTAAAAGTTTTTGAAGGAAAAAAGTCAAGTATTCCTCTTTCCTGCCCTGTAAAAACTGTATTTCAGGTAATCAAATAGTTGATGAAAGAGTTCTTCTTTATGGGAGAATTTCAGCTAATAAAAGTAGAAGGAACCTCTAAAAAAATAATGGATCCAGGCAGGGATCATCAACAGTTGCTAAAACCCTTAAATGAAAGGTTGACAAGAATCTTTAAAATAGTTGGATTCTGATTCACAACACGTGAATCTACCGATTAATCTCAATATTTCTAAAAGTGGGACAAGGTGACAGGATAAGAGGCAATAAGATGTACACGGCACCATCTATGAAGTCTCCCTGCCAAAGAAATGAACATGAATATAACAAAGCCAGATTACAGGAAAAATGGGATAAAGGAATATGTTAAACAACACCATGAGGGAGCAAATTGCCAAATCCAGAATGTGGGACATTCTAGAGCCGGGGTTGGCAAACAATAGCTATAGACTGTTTTGGTACAGCCTGTGTGCTAAGAATGTTTTTTACATTTTTTAGGGGTTGTTAGAGAGAGAGGGAGAGAGAGAAAGAATAGGCAAGCAAGACCTTACATAGCCTACAAAGCCTATTTATTATCTGGCCCTTTAAAGAGAAAAACTGCTGACCCTTATTCAAGAAGACAAATGACCTGGCTTCTTCACAAATAAAACAATGGGGAAAAAATGAGTTGGGGGAGGAAGAGGAGGAACTCTTATGAATTAAAACAGACCTAAGAGATATATTAACCAAATGCAATGTGTTGATCTTTATTTGGATCCTGATTCAAATCAACCAACCATAAAAAGACATTCTGAAACAATCGAGAAAATATGAACAGAGACTAAGTATCAGATGATAGTAAGAAACTATTACTAATGTTATTACGTGTGATAGTAATATTGTGGTTATTTTTAAAAATTTTATCTGTTGGAGATACATAGAATAGTATTTAAAGGTGAAGTGGGGCTGACCCCATGGTGTAGCAGTTAAGTGCACGTGCTCCGCTGCTGGCGGCCTGGGTTCGGATCCCGGACATGCACCAACACACTGCTTGTCAAGCCATGCTGTGGCCGCATCCCATATAAAGTGGAGGAAGATCGGCATGGATGTTAGTTCAGGGCCAGTCTTCCTCAGCAAAAAGAGGAGGATTGGCATGGATGTTAGCTCAGGGCTGATCTTCCTCATAAAAAAATAAAATAAATAAAAAAATAAAATAAAGGTGAAATGTAAAATAGTTCAGCAAAAAAAATAAAACAAAAGTGGGGGAGAGAGATAACACAAGTCTAGCAAAATGTTGATCACTGTCGAAGATAAGTGATGAATACATGAGGATTCCTTACACTTCTGTTTTTGTGAATGTTTGAAAATGACTATAATAAAATTTTTTTAACATATAAGCACATTTATTTAGAAATATGGAGGTCAATACCAAGAGAAACAGCTAAATAAGTTGAAAATAATTGCCCAAACAAGGTAAAATGTGAGGTCAGAGCAGGGGACTGCTATGAGCCTTGTATTTCTATGGTTTTTTAAAACAAGTACATGTATTACTTTGAGAAAAATTAAAAATGCACATCAAAAGGAAAAGAAAGAATGTAAAAGAGAAATAATAACAGTAGCATTAGGTTTAGAGAAGCAAATTATAACCCAAGTTCTCATTACTTTTGCCTAGATTAACTGCCACATGATCCTGAGAAGTCTCTCTCTCGTCCACTCTACAGACCACAAGAAAATTAATTTTCATAAAGTTCTAATTCCCTTATTGCTGCATAAAGACACTTGAAGCTTAGGCTGTCCAAACTAAATCCAACCCCAAATTGGTAGTAACTATGGAGACAGCTCCAACTTTCCATCTAACTGCAATTCATTTTCATATATGCTTAAAGAACATGGCATACAAGCATCCAGTGAAAAGAGCAGAAGGCAAGCCATCTTTGTTCAAGATCTGAATCACTGCAGTGTTCTAACAGCAGGTCCTCTCATTTTATCCTATGTTCATTTCTAGACACTGAAACTGTCCTTACCAGCAAATCCTGCTGTGTTTTGCTTCTGTTCTTTCTTCATGTCTGACATACTGTCACCCCAAATAACATTCTTTTCTATATTACTAGCTTTACATTGGTTTTCCATACTTCTAGATTTCCATCAACTGTGAGTAACTTAAAATTCAGATAACTGAATATAAAGGTTAAAAAATGTACAAATATCTTCTAAGCCCCTGCTTGTAACTGACCATTGTACCCTTGCTGCCACCATGCACAAGGCAAAATCATAGCTTCAGTGATTAAAAAAGGGAAAAAATTAAACTAAATGACCAAGAAAAATTTTAAAATATAAAAGAGGGCATGAAGGCTAGCAAAGTTCAGAACTCTCTGATCTACACTAGATAACCCACCCTCCATTTCACTAATCCCTTATAGTCCACCCTCTTCCAATCAGGCTGTGCCTCTAATTTTACCCCACAAACATGTCCCGACAATTTTACTCTCCAAACTTTTGTTATGTTTTTCTCATTTTTTATGTCTTGAGAATCTGCAGATCTTACAGGAAAACAGCTTTAATGCCAAGCTCTCTAAAAAAAAGAAAAAAACTTTCTCAATCTTGTTACTCCTTCTATAGTCCTTCTCTTAAAACTTTTAAGGTAGTCTCTGTTTGATTCACTCATTTACTAAATAAATGCTTAACATGCAATTTAAGATTTCAACAATATTTCATGTGGCTCTGCCTTGTCTTTTTACTGTAACCTGAATTACTCTGCATTTACTTTGAATGTCTGTAAGTAAATATTTGAAAACAACAAAAGCAGTATGAAAAATCTCTCCAAATACTGCTCTACATTAATCAATTCATGAATCATTTATTCATGAGCAATAAGACAGACTTTCTTTCTCTTGATGGGTTAATAATTTCAATCTCAGACATCAAAGTGTGAAAACATATATAAGACAGTATGTGTTTTCAGACTCCAAATCACTCTGGTAGACATATAGTAAAAATTTAGCTCAGAGGTGGGGGAGATCTCTAATGGCTGGAAGTGCTCGAGACCATTTACAGTCATGCGCCATATAACAACGTTTTGGTCAACCACGGACCGCACATACAACAGTGGTCCCATAAGGTTAATACCATATTGCCTAGGTGTGTAGTAGGCTATACCATCTAGGTGTGTATAAGTACACCCTATGATGTTCGCACAACAACAAAATCACCTAGCAACACATTTCTCAGAACATGTCCCTGTCATTAAGCAATGCATGACTGTATTGGAAATTGAGCTCAAAGTTAAATAACTGCCAGAACCAGGACAGGTAAGAGCACTCATGATTAAAGGAAAAGATGTGACGAGTTTCACAATACTGGAGACATTAAAGATACATATTCCAATGTTGTCATTTCTGCAGTTAAATACTGACTTAAAGGCATGAACAAACCTATATCATGAAGGTACATAAAGGAAAAAGAAGTCTGTATGTAATTTAGAACTGTTTTGGATAATGTCTGTGAGGGTTGGAAAAAAAAGTCATGTAAAAGATATTTCATAAAGGAAGAAGAAATAAACAATAAATAGGAACTGAGGAGAAATCAGAATCTTTTAGAGAGGAGCAAAGAAGAAAGACATTTCCAAGAAGGGTGATTCATGGGATCAAATATAGCATAGAGAACTTCCTGTTTCAATACAGTCAAATTAAATATCTCTGTCTCCTCTCCCTCTGCAAACATGAAGAAGAAATGGAAAAAGAAAATACATCTTCAATGAAACTAAAAGGCAGCTAAACTCCAATTCCAGAGTATAAGGAAAGACCAGACAACAGATTGAACCAAGTTGGGAAGAAACCCAGAGATAGTGGCTGTTCTTTTTTATCTCAGACAGAAAGCACAGTGAACCAAGTTCTCCAAAACTGAAGGCACACTCTGTGGGCAAAATGAAGGAGCCATTATTTGCAACGATGAGATCCAGATGTGTTGAGACTGGCGGCAGGAACACAATGGTCTGCACCTGGCCCTGTCAAATGGTAGGGAGGGCAGAGCTAAACAAGGAGATGCAAATAGTCATTATTCTGGTATAAGCAGTCCGTTGGCACAGAAGGGTGGAGGAGATACTGAGTGCTAGAGGAATCATGCAACTAATAGTCTCTAACTCAAGAGAAGTAACGGGCAAGCCAACTCTCAACACAAAACCTTGTGTGATAAAGGAGGTCAATATGAGCAACAAAGGCTTCCTCCTAGCTCAGAGCATCCTTCTGGACAATCTTCAACACTCCTTCTGTAAATAGTGGGTCCAGAAAGAAACAACTTCATTCAAAGATGAGAAATGATCATTGTAAAAGGAACCAGTATCAGATCTATACAATGATGCTACAAGAACCAAAAAACATGAATATACAAGTTGAAAGGAAAAATTCACATTGATTGATCAATAGGCCTCATAAAGTTTTAAAGCTTTAAAGAAAAAGGAACCTGTGGGCATCCAAACAAACAAAACAAGTTATCTACGAGGGGGACAATCAGGCCTCAGGTTTCTCCAGGCAACATTCAAAGCCAGGAGACAGTAGAGGATTGTCCCAAGTCTTCAGGGCACTGTCTACAGAAACCTCCAGGAAAGAAAGTATGGCTCAAGAAATTTATATATAACCGATGAGCAACCAAATATAAACCTTAAAAAAAAAATGATATCGTCCTATGTGCCAAACCTCAGGGACTCTCATTTCCATTAAATTATAAGCTCTATGAAGACAGGATTTTGTTTTGTACAGTGTTATATGCGCACGCCTGGAACAGTATTTTATCTTTATTGTTAATGACTATAAATGTGGTTTCCTTTCCTTTATATCTTCTACTTGGTTGTTGAAGTATATACGAAAGTCATTGATTTTTATTTGTTAATTTGATATCCTACCATCTTAGTGGATTCTCTTACTATTTTTTGCTTTTTTTTTCAGTTGATTCTCTTGTGTTTTCCAGGCATACAATCTTATCATCTTAAAATAAGATGGATTTATAGGTTTCCTTCAAATTCTTATAGGACTGATTTTTTTTTCTCTTGTCTAATACTTAGGTATAAACTTAATAAAAAATGTATAAGAGCTATAAAGGGAAAACTTGGAAAGCATTTCTGAAGGACACAAAAGTAGAGAGATCTAAACAAAGACAGAGCATGTTCTTGGATAGAAAACCTTGATATTATAAAGATGTCAAATCTCCAAAAGTTAATTTATATATCTAACACATTTCCTAAAAAGTCCAACAGTTGTTTTTCTCTGGAAATAGAGAGTCGAATCTACAATTCTTTTGATAAAATAACAATCAAGAATAGCCATCACAACTCTGAAAAAGAAGTGTGTGCAGTTGGAAAAGAAAGGGCTGAGTGTCAAGGATAAGAGGGAGACAGACTCACTTTTCAATTTGTCTTTTGGACTATTCATATTTTTTAACCAAGTAGGCATATATTTTATTTTCAAAAAATTAAAGTAATGGGAGGTGGGAATAAGTAGGAAGGAGGCACCAATTTCTAAGCCAGACACTTTTAAAGCTACATGGGACTGTGAGGGTTGTGAAGCACAATGGGAAGTGTGAGTCCTGTTACAAAACACATCTGAGGCTTTTCAAAAGGGTAAGAAATTAAAAGGACTCTAGTGTGAAACAAATATGTTTCTAAAATGCTACTCACCCATAAAATACTGAATGCATAAGAAAATAAAACTATGAACACAAAGGAAAGAGAGGGCTTATGGATCATAGAGAGGGACAAAAATCCTGAAAATAAGGCTGTAAATGAATTAGGGAAGGCTGGCATCCTGAAATCAGATGGGGTTACTGGCCCTCTAAAATTTGAAAATAGCTCCAATATAGGAAGAAAACAGTATCTGGAAACGTCACAGTAATCCAATCTATTCATACCACTCTAGAAGACTAGGGCCTTTAAGAAAATCTTGGAAAATGTGAAACGGTATCAACCCCCGAACAAATGTCATGTGGCTTTCTCATTTGGAGCTGCCTTTTCACTTATTCACCTGGACAGTGGCTCCCAAACATTTCTTCCTCTACCACCCATGGCTCCTCTTCCTGCTCCAACTTGAAGATCACATCTGGTTTGGTGACTTGATAGCCTATCATGGGAAACAGCGAAAGACTTGGATATTAATGCTGGAGACAACTATCCAGATTTTGGGCTGAGTTCTGGGGGACTGAGGACTTATGAAGAATGATGATGGAGGAACTTCCACAGCGACACAAAGTAATTAGCCTCTACCCTGAAGATGAGTACACACAATCATGTGAAGAAAGGGAAGGCTAGATTTATCTGGCAAGTTAGAAGTATTCATACATTTCAAAAATGGAAAGGAATTCCATGTAAAATGGCAAATCTACCCTTACCCACTGTGACTAGGTTGCTATAGTTCTCCAGCATCACATCCCGGTACAAGTTCCTCTGAGCAGGTTTCATTTGCTGCCATTCCTCCTGGGTGAGGTCCACAGCCACATCCTTAAATGTCACTGTTTCCTGTAAAAATAGAACCTTAATTAATATGAAGTCATCAAAATTAGATGCAGTGGTCAGAACATGTAAGAAGTCATTTAGCTAGTCTCCAGGGATCAGAGTTCATTAAAAACTGTATACTAAGTCTTCCTATTTATCTAATCTTGTATTATACTGTGGGGGAGAACAAACCATAGTAGAAATATCCTGTAAGGTGATGTTAATTATTGAGTCAGCACACCTATGTATTCATCATCTATTATGCAGGAAACTGGAGATGGTGGTCACTGACTTGCACTGGAAGAGTCAGACATGACTCACAGGTAAGCGGCTCAGAATCTGTCCAAGTGATCATGTGATCTAGTGAGAAAGGGAATATGGAGAAAGTGGGGAGGGAAAGAGAAATAAGGCAGGAGGAAAGAGAAGAGGTACAAAAATATGAATGTGCAAATTTGAAATTTCTATAGGGCTTCCAAAGGAAAATGTCCACTATGCAGTTATAGGTATGAAGAAAGGATAATAAATGAGAATTTGTTAGCCATCAACCTAAAATTGGGAGCTGAATCCATGGCTGAAGGATATGAGTGTTTGTAGAGAACAGACATGGTAGGTAAAGGAACAAGGACAGAATCAACAGTTAAGCATCAAAGAATAGGACTCAGGTTTTTGTTTCTTATTTGTTTTATTTACAATCAGAAGATTAGAATTAAAACCATGAGAGTGGTGTAACAGAAGCCAAGACACAAATGACAAATTTCTGGAAAAGAATGTTACTTGATCACATATATCTAACTCTTTCTCCCCATTGAAAACTTCAATATCCAAGTAAGGAAATAAGGAAAAATCTTTATCTGCCAGTTCTCAAAGAAAGAAAAGCGTCCATATATCCCACATTTGGAAGAATTTATTCAAGTAACAGTACTAATGAGATAGACTAATGAGTAGACTAGTAGAGAAAAATGGGAAATACAAATGGAAATCACCGAAGGCTGAATTGCTATTAATATTTCTGGGAAATTCTCTTTATAATCTATGGTCATTACTATCATCGACATCATCATCATTGTCATCTATTGAGGACTCACTATGTGGCACGCACTGTTATAATTTCTTTTTTTTTTTTTTTTTTTTTTAAGTTTTTTTTTATTCATGTTTTTCCCCCCAAAGCCCCAGTAGATAGTTGTATGTCGTAGGTTCACATCCTTCTAGTTGCTGTACGTGGGACTCGGCCTCGTGTTGGACGGAGAAGTGGTGCCTTGGGGCGCGCCCGGGATCCGAACCCGGGCCGCCAGCATCAGAGCGCACGCACTTAACCGCCAAGCCACGGAGCCGGCCCTATAATTTCTTTAGATATATTAACTTTTAGAATTCCCCTAATAAGGCTATGAAGTAGCTATTATTATTATCCATTTAAAAGGTAAGGAAACTGGGGCTACAAGTAACTCTCCCATGGTCACAGAGCTAAAATATCTGCTAGAGCTGGATGCCAGCCCAAGTAGTGTGTCTGCAGAGCCCATGTTCTTATCCATATACTATACTTCTTCTCCAATCGGCAGGAAGTCCAAGAGTCCCACAAATATCCCCTGATTCAAGACAGACAACTGGGCACACAAGAACTCCTGCACCTAAAATCTTTCTTGCTGAGGTTGAAAGCATGTGAAATCACCAATGCTGGGAAACCACAGGACAAATATCATGACAAAAAAATCAAAATCAAAAGCCCATGATGATGGGACATCATCCTCACTTGGAAAAGCAGAGAGAAGTCTGATGAAGCAGTGGGGAGGAATACTGAAGACAAAACAAGATGTAGAAAACTGGCCTCTGGGCAATGGTTTCGCTAATCAGTGTTTGAAAAAAGGCAGACATAAAATATTTTTGCTATTACTACCCAATACTGTATTAACCAAATTAGTCAAATGAACTTACAAAAACTAATATTCAAGATTTTAGGTGAAGAGTGAGAGAATAATCATTAAAATAACTTTGGAGTAAACTACCTGATATGTAGGACTTGGTAAATGTAAAAATTAATTTTACACTTAAAAAAAAAGCTGTTATAGGGCTGGCCCCGTGGCTTGGTCGTTAAGTGCGCGCGCTCCGCTGCTGGCAGCCCTGGTTCGGATCCCGGGCGCGCACTGACACACTGCTTGTCCAACCATGCTGAGGCCGCGTCCCACATACAGCAACTAGAAGGATGTGCAACTATGACATACAACTATCTACTGGGGCTTTGGGGAAGAAAAAAAGGAGGAGGATTGGCAATAGATGTTAGCTCAGAGCTGGTCTTCCTCAGCAAAAAGAGGAGGCTTAGCACGGATGTTAGCTCAGGGCTGATCTTCCTCATAAAAAAAAACAAAAGCCATTATATATGTGTGTGTGTGTGTACACACATATATATATATCTCCATTTCCAAAAACAGACACCTTGATCATTTTAATAAATTAGACAAACACTTGTCAAGCCTAAATCAAGAAAAACAGTAAAACACAATGAACCAAATTTGGGATATAAAAAGAACACGTAATAAAAGATAGAATGGTAAGTTTTAAAAAGTTATGAATTCTACTTCTAGGATAGCAGTGTGAGGTCAGCATCATGGCAGAGTGAGCTTCCCCCACTGAACTCTCCCCCTCTAAGACACAACAAAAAGGACATTCATATTCCAACAGCAGCTATTCACACAACACACGGGACGTCTGAGGCACCCAGGCAGCCGTACACCCGAGGACTGAATCCCCAGAGTAAGTGGAAAGAGGTAAGAGGAGCTCACTTCCTTCTCCAAGGACTGCGACCCAGAGACTGAGACCACGCGGCTCTCAGCGCAGGGGAAGGGCAGCTCACTGCGAGAAAACCGGCGTTCTCCAAGACCCCTCACAGTCTGTGGGGATCCCCCTACGGAGAGAGCGGAACTGTTGCGAGGGTACTTTCAATAAGCTAGCCCCTCAGGAGAGCAGAGAGGACAGCGAGGCGAGAAACCTCTGAGATCGGGGAGGCGAAAGTAAGCACCCCTCCCCCACCAGGCCCACCCAGCCAGCGCTTCAATTCAGCCCTGTCCCCAGAGGCAGCGGCCCCTAGGCACCCGGGCCCCACCAGCAGGGGCAGCGTGACCATGCCCCGCCCCCACAGGCAGTGGCCCCCAGCAGGGGGTGAGCCTGCGCCCCGGCACCAGAGGCAATGGCAGTTCAGGCCCCACTGTGCCACAGCCCCAGCTCCCTCGGCTTGACTGCCCGCACCCTCTGGCTCCAGCTGCTTTGGTTTGGCCTGTGGTCAGGCTCTAGCTGACTTGGCGCCAGCAACTTCAGCCCAGTGCTCTCCTGTTCCAGCTTCTTTGGCCCAGTGCACTCCAGTTCTAGCTCCTTCGGCCCAGCAGCGCATCAGCTCTTGCTTCTTTGGCCCAGCAGTACTTCAGCTGCAGCTGCTTCAACCCACCCACACCCAAGCCCCAGCTGCTTCAGCCTAGCTGTGCTCCAGTCCCAGCTGTTCCCACACTCCAGCTCCAGCTGTTCCCACACTTCACCCCCAGAAGCCTCTGCTCAGCCACGCCTCAGACCAGCAAGGGGCCCACGAGAGTGCCAGGGGATTGAGGCAGGCCAAAATACACAGCCCTTGACCCCCACCCAGTGGCAGCAAGAGGAAACTGCGACCATATATTTTCACTGTGAGGAAAAGTAAGCCAACACCGACAGGCACTATGCAAAAATATATTAAATCTCCAGACAGAAAAGGAAAATGACAAGCGCCCACAAGTCAACCCAGAAAGCACAGAAATGTATAACCTTAATGACAGAGAATTCAAAATAGCCGTCATAAAAAAGCTTAATGAAATACAAGAAAACACAGACAGACAATTCAATGAAATCATGAGTTTCTTCACAAAAGAGATTGAAACTATAAAAAAACCAATCAGAAATCTTAGAGATGAAAAACACAATAGAGGATATAAAGACAAATCTGGAAGACTTAAGCATCAGAGCTGACAATATGGAGGAAAGAATTAGCAATATTGAGGACAGCAATGCAGAGATGCTCCAGATGGAGGAGGAAAGAGAATCAAGACTAAAAAGAAATGAAGAAACTCTCCGAGAAATATCCGACTCAATTAAGAAATCCAACATAAGGATTATAGGTATTCCAGAGGGAGAAGAGAGGGAAAAAGGAGCAGGCAACTTGTTCAAAGAAATAATGGCTGAGAACTTCCAAAACCTGGGGAAGGAGCTGGAAATACTAGTGAATGAAATAAATAGATCTCCTAAATATATCAACACGAAAAGACCCTCTCCAAGGCATATAGTAGTAAAGCTGGCAAAAATCAACGACAAAGAAAAAATATTAAGGGCAGCTACACACACACACACACACACAAAAGGACAGCAGTGTGAAGAATTCCATGGATCTATTTCCCAGAAAAAGAAGCATAACTGGTGAAAAGTATTTTTTTTTTAAATTTTAAGTCTCTGGAAATTGTCCTAAGGGCATACAGCAATGAAGAACTATTTATTCAAGAAAATCTACTAAAATTTGGTAAAAACTGTGATAGTCTGTGGAATTTGAGCCAATCTGCTCCCTTCCTCTCCTCACTCCAGCTCAGCTTGAGAGAAGATCCATTCCGTGTGGGTGTGGCTAAGAAGACAGGGCTCCTTCTCCCCTTAGCTACCAAACAAGGGATATGGTGTCTCACTGGGAGGGGCAGATGTTCAACATTCTCATTCCATTCAACTCCAACCTGAAGAAGCTAAGTTCCCGGTGAGTGTGGCCAAGAGGTCAGAGGCTCCTTTGCTCTAGAGTGGAGGTTCTACCTAAGGTGCGGCAGGTCAAGAATACTGGTACACCAATTACCCTTATCCCAGTTCACTTTTAGGGCAAAGATTCTACGTCAAAACAGGCAAATCAAGAACACCAGAGGCTACTATCTCACCAAAAGCCCAGAGTTGTGGCTCAAAGATTTTGTCCCGAGGGAGAGACAGTCCATAAGCAGAAAGATCTCAAAAACTCTCCCAAAGGAAATGAATGTTTTTGAAAC